GTGGGTTTTATCTTAATCAGCAGATAGTGTAGCAAACTGTGTGGGTGTGCAACAAAAGGTATGAACTCATGGCAGGGAGTCAGTTAAGTGAGAAGTAAAAGTATCATCTTCAAGCTAGCTGAAAGTTTTGTTTTACTGGCTGGTTTTAAGATCAATTTCTGTAACAGCATTTATTTGAAAGCAAAAATTTTATGGTCAATAAAAAGCAAGAATATTATTTATTGTACTAGGCATTTCATCTAAAATCTTACATAAGATGGTGTTAGGTCACTGTGTTAAGACCCACTGCTTCGTCGGGTTCAGAATTCAGTTTAAGGCTTAACCACTTTGGCTTATTTAGGACATTTTCTTTTTCTTGGAATCTTGTTCTACTCTTTTATTATGCCATAGTAAGACGTGTTGCTTCAAGCTGCATTCATAGTATGATGAAGTGGTATATATAAGTAATTAGGAACAAAACCAAAACAATATGGGTACCTGTGTGTGTACATGTAATATTTGTGAGATAGAGACTTTCCTGGCATATACAATACAGCCTAAACAACTGGGTAAAACCCAGTGCTGAAAACAAAAACCAAACCAGGTCTCTTCAAGGTCTCTGAGGTATTCATTGAGGATGTGGGGTACTTGCCCTGTACAGCAGCATTCTCTCACTTGAACTTCTTGGATTCTTAGTGAACAGCAAGCACTAACTGCACCCTCATACTCTCCAGACTAGGAGTTTCTGGTAACATTTTTCTCTCAGTGTTCAGCAAGCCTGCATGGTACAGAGGGAAGAAAGCAGGTTTGGAAGTCAACTTGGTCCAAAACCAAGACCCGACATAGCCTTGATTAATCTCTCTCTCTCTCTCTCTCTCTCTCTCTCTCTTTCTCTTTCTCTCTCTCCCCGTTTCTCTCTCTCTCTGTTCTCTCAGTAGATATTTTTGATTCTTTTCAAACTTTAGTGACTTTCTTTTAAAACTTGAGATAATTATGTTTGCTTTTCACCAATGATTCCCTGTCTATAAATTACCTAATATAATACTGTCCTATTACCATTATTTTCAGGCTTATATTGTTTAAGAAAAATGATTCAGAATTAAAAGTACACAAGAAATATTTCATAGTTATCCTAGAAGTCCTGGTAAACTATGCGAGACAATTGAATGATTAATTTTTGGTAGCTTGGGAATGGTGACTTTATGCCCGAAAACTAACAAACTGGTATTCCTAACCAAATATGACTCAGGATAATTTTGTTTCTTAAATGTGTGAGTGCTTAAGGTAGTTACACTCTTTGTCATAGACACAAGGGGTTTTGGAAGGCCAGTTAATAGTTGGAGTACATTTTGAGTGAAAAACAGAGGGAATGAGAACTTTGGAATATGCAAATGCAGTGAGGAGCTGACTGGGTGAGCAGGGCATGCAGGAAAACGACCCAGTCAGCTGGAGGTCACCACTCTACTCTGTTGTTCTTAGAATCAGGGAAGGGTTCTAGAATGTTCTTGACCATTGCCACCCCCAAGGTGGGTGGAGGGCAGAGATCTGAGGCTCAGTTCAGAACAGGAGATTTTGGCTACTTCTGCTTCTCTGCTTGTGGAAGAGACCAGAGACTCGTTTTCCAGTGCAGTTCTGAGGGCAGGTTAGGCAGAACCGTGGAGGCTGTTAAGCAGCAGGTGAGAGAGGGAACTCGCCAACCTTTTCCTCACTTTTTTTTTTAACTTTTTTTTTTTAATTAAAAGAAGCATTTCATTACAACAGCATTAACCTATTCAATAACATTTTTCTGAGCTAGGGTACATCTCTTTCAAAATTGGCTGTACATTTCTAGGTTTACAGATGAATTATTACACTTATATAATCTTTTACTCATTATTAACTCTACAAGACATAAAATTAAATGAGGTTCCAACATTTAAAAAAGATCTCCACTGCATTGTAAAAACACACAGTTTCATACAGAAAAATTCATTTCAAGGCAATTGACATTGAGACGTTTTCACATGCATTTCCAATCTCTATATACATGACTATCACTGGTCACAGTCGCCCACCTTCTGAGCTCCTCGGCATCTGAGCATGAATACAAACT